CTGGGGCACAATGCGTTACACGTCTACGGAGAATGCTACGAGTATTTTTATCCCTATCAGGCCTTTGAAAGAGGAGGAAGTGGAACATATAACGAAAATCTTCTTTTCAAGACTAGGAGATACTCTCGACATGGAGAAACCATTTGAGTTGAAGGACGGACTAAGGAAGCTGATAAAGTTAGCAGGAGGTAATCCTAGGATGCTTGATCACCTGTTGAGAGGGTTGATGCCCGAGCACCCTCATCTCGAAGCTTTGAAGTTCTACGAGAAGGTTTGTTCGGCTCTTTTTTGTCTTTTTTCTTGATGTGATGAGAAGTTTTTTTATGTTTGTTACAGGTGGATCAAGATCTCACCCAAGCCGATCTGTGCAAAACAATAACGAATGCGTGGAAACGTATTAAGGGCAGTTATTATCTTCACTACCTTCATGACAGCAACTATTTGTTAGTGCTACGAGCTCTTTATGTTGCGCTGCTGGGGACCCTTATCAATCGGGACGACCTAGTATGGCCAGGCATTTACAGTGATAAGTGGGGATTTTTAGAGTCTTGCGGTTTAGTTGGACTCTTACGCAACGAGGTACTTTTCTGGTATTTCAGAAGTTTATGTGAGTGCTTATGTGGGGTTAATTTACAGGAGGAGCCGCCTCCCCATAAGCAGGTAAAATTATCGAAACAGGAAGACACAAAGAATGGAATGCGCGCTTTTTCCATCATGTTCTCTCCACTCCTTATATACCATCTTGTCGAGAACCTACATGTGGCGGAGCTGCGACATTTATGGCCTCCTATACTGGATTCTAATCCCAAGGTTAAGGAGGTATCAGACCTCATGTGCATTGTCTTCATGATATACATGGGTAAGCTTTTTCATGATCGCGAGAAGGACACGGTGTTCGAGTTCACACTCAAAGACATTCTCCCCTCAAATTTCCGCGTTCCTGCACGTATGCAAGCTTTGAAGTTCCGGTTGCCAGCTGGTGCAAGGTTTGGACCTCCGAAACGTCAGCCTCATCAGATTCATGAAGCAGAGGCATTTCAAGCCTTTTTAAATGACAACAAGAAGCAATTCTATTGGGTTGGTATTGGCAACCATGGACCTGATAGCTTCATCCATCTAAAGCTAGTGGTTGTGGAGGATACGTTGGATGATTTTTTTATATTTCTTGAGAGTAAGCACAGGGAATGTTATGAAGGCCAACAAGCAAGATGGGAACAAGATTTTCTGAAGAAAACATGGAGGATAGAGCAATGGATAGAAGGTATTTAATTTTATTTGTGGGTGGTTAAATGTGTGTCTTTTCAGATGGGGAGTACGCTGTCATTTTTATGACAGACCAAGCATTGCATAACGTGATTCGGAAAGTAAAAAAGCAGGATAAGATGGTTGTTCCGAAGGTGGATACATGCTATTACGGGTATCCGCAGCAGAGTCCATTTGGTACGTTTTTTTATGC